GGTCTTTATCGGTCCCTATGCCTCTGCTGGATAAAAGGCCACGGCTGGGCCCTTGCTAACTGGCATCATTACTTTACCTGCCCCTTTCGGTAACCTCAGTGCCGACGAGTATGACCGTTGTGGTGCCGGGTCCATCACGTAACATGGAACTGCTCCAGCCTCGATCTGCGCTAGTTTAGCTTCCGCTGCGATCTTACCTTGCTCAGCTCTGAGCGCTGCCAGCTCCAGTTCGGAGGTGTGTATCTCCATGGTCGCCACCATGGCTATGAAGTCATAGCCGTATGCAGCTACTTTGTTTACTTCCATCTTATTCAACTTTGATCCTGGCCCAGTGATGATGCCCATGATACTGTTCACTGCATCATGGACATGGTCGATTACTTCTAGTTTTGTCGCAGCGGTAGCCTTGAAACTCTTCCTCACACCCTGGGAGCCCTCCCTTACATCTTCTTCCTCTTTCATCACTGCAGCCGACTCCTCAATTTCTCTAGTCAACGGACCTGCCACCGAGGCCACACTCCGGCGAGGCTCCGTGCACTTGCCCACCCTAGCTCGCTGGGAAGAAGGCTGAACCTCTTCCGAAGACGGCAGAGGCCACTTCTCTGGCACTAGCGGCGGCCAAGCGGGGCCGGCGGGGTCCTGGCCAATGATTTACGCGGAGTGAACAACTCCTCGTCGTCAGCCATAATTATATTATAGGAGTAACCAGGTAATATTTAAATAGTCAATACAATATAAATGCAAAATCCAATATAAAAACGGAACGCAATCCGAAATGTCAGTCACAGTGACAGGTGACAGCTGTCAACGTCACTGTCAATGTCAACGTCACGTTCGATAACGGCTGTCAATGTCAAAACTACAACAACCACGTGCCAACACACAATAAGCTAATAATAAATCTACAATGTCTTCTTTTAAAAACTAATACTATATATAATAAAGTACTCACAGTTTAATATCCATTTGTAAAATTAGTAAAATAACAACACACAAATATATAGGTTAATTTACTTAACTAAACTTTAAACTTAATTAACTTACTTAACTTAAAAGACACGTGCTTATTCCTACAAAAGTATTTAAAAAATGCAACAACACAACACAGTTATATTTTATCCGACACAAAAAGTTACTCGTATTACAAGCAAAACTTAGCACAAAAGTCCGAAGAAAACACCAAAAATACTAAAAAATACTACTCAAGGTTACGCGAGAGCGCAGAAATACGTCCGCTCAGTACGAGTACCGACGACGTAGTCCTTAGAGATGGGAACAGTATTCCATGTGAGGCCGAACCTGCGCCTTGTAAAGTTGCAAGTGGTGTACCCGCATGAAATACTATCCCGCTCTGCTGAACACGCCAAGCTTTTTAGAGGCCAATTTGGCCTTCTCTTCCAAATGACCACGAAACTGCACATCATTCGATATGTCGACACCGAGGATACCGATACTGGCTCAGGCTACAAGGGGAGTGCCTTGAAACTGAGGAGATACGACAAAGGGGTTCTTTTTAGCGGTAAACGCGCAAACTTGTGTCTTCTGGGGATTGAACTGGACTAGATTTAGTCGCCCCCAGTCTGAGACTTTGTTCAACAAAGTCTCGACTTCAGACAGTTTGTTCCGGTACTCGGCCACGTTTTGCCGAGAAATATTGGCACGGCTGGTGTATAAGCAATGAATGTTACTGGTTTGCAACATATCATTGATATGCAGAAGAAACAGCGTTGGTGATAGCACGCAGCCTTGTGGAACACCAGCGTTAATGGGCTTGTAATCGGAGCTTGCACCGTCTACTATGACCTTGATGCTCCGATCTGCAAGAAAACTGGTGATCCAATTGCACAATTTCTCGGGAACCCCATAGGAAGCAGCTTCGAAAGAAGCGCTTTGTGCTAAACCCGGTCGAAGGCCTTCGCTATTTTCAAACTGCTGATGTGGTACATCAGGGTATGGAACTTTTTATTCCATCCTCTGTGGTGCCCATTGGAGGCAGATCCCAGCCATGGTTTGGTCGCTCCTGTAAAATAGCATCATACTATATGCAGGAGTGCTACCGGGCCTGGGCTTACGCATCAACGTCCCGGCATGTAAACACCAGTGCTCTTAAAAAGAAGTATAATTCCGCCTCCAGGTCCTCCAAAAGTGTCATTGCCAAGGCAAATTCAGAGCACATCGGCAGAATTGGCGAGAATATATATATAAAGTTTATATGGAACCCTCCAGGGCGCGAGTTCTACTTTTTGCAGGGTAACATCTTTCCTCTCGTTTTTTTGCAATATGTTGGAGTGATTTCGTGAAAAGGGACGGAAGTGTGACCCAGGAGCCGGCGAAGCGCGCGCTATTTGGTTTGACCACTGAGCGCGCGTATTTACTTGGATCAATAAGCACACGCGGGATTATAAGAGAAATGTGAAAATCTGTCTTTTGTGGTACAATTGTATTTATCTTAAGTCTATAAGAATTTCTTGATGGAAAAACTCAATAACTAATTTTTTTGGCCCGACCCGGAATTCGAACCCGGGACCTCATGATCAGCAGTCGCACAACCACTAGACCAACAAGGCAGTCAATATATACCTATATATAGGGTACATTATGACGTACAATGTACATTACAGTGAATTGCTGATATAATAGGAAGTATGTTTCATAAATAAGTTACAAAATTGAAATTTATAAAGATATTTTGATTCTAGCAGGCAGTAATTCAAAAAAATATAAATATAACACAGCTCTACAGAAATTAGCTGCTTGTGATGATATAACCATCGTGAAGTATTTTTTGTACATTTCTTGACGTCATAACTTTATACTTAGTTGAAGAATCTCACTAAGAGTTCCGGCAAAAATTTTCCGCCCGTAAGTAATTTAAAAAAATATTGCGACGTATTGTTATTTAGATGAACTTGTTTATGTCAGTGTAATAAAATTTTCAATGAAATTAAGCTTAGATACGTTACGGAGACTTCCACATACGAGTACATAGTGCTACAGATACAAGGGCGACACTGAAAGTTTTTAGAATGATGTGCCTTCAACTTACAAAGACAAGTTTATAATTTACGTATTTTTGTAAAAAAAATAGTATATTATTGTGTGAACGCCAGTGTTATGTGTCAAATTAAACTATTTTTTTCTTTCTTTGTCAGCATTCTTAAGGCCAAGTTTAGACAGACCTTTCAAGAATGCACCAGCTGGTGTGCAATAATCAAAAGTTTTAGCTTAGGATGCGGCTTGGTAAGTAGTAGAGTCATTATATTAATAAAAATATAAAGTATAAATGTGTAGCATTTGCTTATTCACAATCGGAATATTAAAAACAGAAACAAAGCACTGGCTTTATTGTGTCTGTAATAACTTGCTACATTCGCTATACTCTGATCACAAACTAGGATGAATAAATCTAAAACCAAGGAGTTATGATTTCTTATATTTTCGCGAACACTACACATTTAAATAAAACCAGTTTTACGGATTTTATCTTATATTTTAACTTATTTTATTTTATGTCACGGGAGTACTGAAGATTTTGACGTCCCAATGTAATAGTTAACCATTCCAACCAATCATCTGGAGGTCCAGATGATTGGTTTGAATCATCCGCAGTAGAACCAGAGTAACCGACATAGCCCAACGGATTAGTAAGCTGAAGTGGCAGTGGGCAAGCCATATAGCTCGAGGAACCGACAACCGATGGGGAAGAAAGGTTCTAAAGTGGCAGCCTCGTACCGGTAGGCGAAGTGTAGGGCGACCCCCCCACGAGATGGAGTGACGACCTGGTAAGACATGCAGGAAGTCGATGGATGCAGGTGGCTCAGGACCGTGCTTTGTGGCATTCCTTGGGGGAGGCCGAAGTTCAGCAGTGGACTTATTAAAGGCTGTAATGATGATGATGATGGTCTGGAGGTAGCCGTGGTTAACTATAACAATGGGACGTCAAACACCTCATCCCCCCCCCCCTTCCCCGTGACCATGGGTGCTGTAAAGTACTCAAAACGTCGGGGGAATATAAAATAAGTTAATATACGCGATAAAATCCGTAAAACTAGTTTATTTACAAGGAGTTTCACATACTTTACACATGGGTTTCAAAGCTGTTTAAAACTTTACGTGTAGCTCCTGCTATGCAATTTACCTTAGTTCAGTGGCACTTTCAAGAGACTTAAAGTAATTATCCTTAACAAGAAAACACAAAACACGTTTTGTAAATTAAACGTGATTTATATTTCTTTTAAAACGAGCGAGCCATACAGTAGTCGCATATGTGATGTGTAACATCTGCCATCTTCACATACTATTATATATCATTTATATATATTCATCTTGGTAACAGGCAACATTAACATTGACTATACTACATAATACTTATCTTGATCTTAAATATTAATTATACCTTATTAAATACGGAGTACCAACAAAATATATATTTTTACAAGTAACTCGCGACGCTATACGGTGGTGGCATTAGATATATTATATATATATATATACGAATATTGAACGTACTGAGTAGTTGCTTAGTAAACACGTATCTATTTAGCTTCGCCTATAAGTCGTTAATACAAGTGCAAAATCGTCAATATTTGATGTGTGGCAGACACCGTTTTGTGAGTGAACTTATAACCTATTTTATTGTGAAAAATCTTGCATAACAGTTCTAGTATCGTGAAGTAATCATGTTAAAACTATCTCAACATTACAAAATCTGCGGGTAATTATAAAGTGTCGGTGATTTTTGTACACAAGTAAACAATTTATGTAAACAACAACAACGAGTATGCGTCTTCTCGGGTTATTATTTTTTTTTAACTGACTAATAAAAAAAGAATTTTCAATTCTTTTAATTGACCTTGTTGGTGGTATCGGACATTATATAAAATTTATTATTAGAAAAGTAAAATTATAGTATAAGTACGATTAACGCCTACCAAATTGCATTCAGCAACTTTGCAGTAAAGTGTATTTTGTTGCAAACCTCAGTGATAAACAATAGTATAATGTCTACCGACAACAATGATTGGGGATGCTGTGGTGATAACCCTGACACAGAAGAGTACATTAAGTGCCAGAAATGCTCAAAAAAGTTTCATGTGGCCTGTCTCAGCTCTCCCTCCGTAATAAAACCAAGTGAGCTTTCGACATGGGAATGTCCTCTATGTACCAGCCTACGACCAAAAACTGGGCATAACGACAACACGCCGGTGCGATTTAACCCTAATGTCACGGTACGGGCTTCTAAAAGACAGGCACTGCAGTCACCTCCAATAATAGGAGCGTTGGCTGATGAAGTTAGAGGTATCATGCAGGAGTATTGTAAGAGCATTACATCTAAAATCGATTCCCTAACTATTTCCATTAGTTCTGAAATAAAATCAGTTAAGGAGGAGATGCTGGAAATTAGGAGCTCTATGGATTTCATGAATTCCAAATATGAATTGTTGATCAAAGACCACAAAGAAACTAAACAGGCGATGGTTGATTTCCAAAAAGAAAACAGTGCTCTAAAGACCAATGTTAAGGACCTCACGGCGCGAATTAATACCCTTGAACAGAACGCACGAGCTATGAATGTAGAAATACAGTGCATTCCTGAAAAAAATAATGAAAACTTAATGCAAGTAGTGACCCAACTGGGTACTGTACTTAAGTGTAATGTTAAAAACGAAGATGTTATCAACTGTACACGTATCGCCAAGATCAACCCTAATAGTACGTGACCAAAATCAATTGTAGCCCAATTCGCCAATAAAAAGATTCGTGATGAGTTTTTAGCAGCATCCATAAATTTCAACCGAAAAAAGGCAATGCAGGATAAGCTTAATAGCTCGCATCTGGGATTCAACGGTGAAAAATCTCCAATATTCATTGTGGATCACTTGTCCCCCATGAATAAATCGCTTCATGCCGCAGCTAGAAAGATTGGTAAAGAAAAAGGATACAAACATGTGTGGGTTAGGAACGGGCGTATTTTTATGCGAAAAACTGATAATTCCGACTATATGCTTATCAGAGATATGGACTCGTTAAATTGTATTAAGTAGTTGTAATGATAACGATTATGTTAATTTAATACAAGTAATTGGATAAAAATCTATAAAATTCACTTCTATATCTATATATTATCAAAATGTTCGAGGGTTGCGCACTAAAACCCACATATTTTTACAAAATCAGCTTATTTCAAATTATGATGTTATTGTTCTAACAGAGACCTGGCTGAATAGTAAAATACTTGACTCTGAACTTTTTGGTGAGGGATATGCCGTATACAGAAGGGACAGAGAAATGTCCGGCTTTAACGTGAAAAAAGAGGGGGGTGGGGCACTAATTGCAATTTCTAAACGTTTAAATTCGAAGCGTATGCTGAACTGGGAAAGCGAATGTGAGGATGTTTGGGTTGTAATTGATGGTTCTCAGTCACTAGCTCTGTGTGCGGTATATCTGCCACCCCCGGTTCAAACATCAATGCTAAAACATTTTATCGATAACTTTAACCATGTTTCCGAACTATTTAATTCACATGTCTGTGTACTTGGCGACTTTAATTTGCCGACCTTAGACTGGAATTTGGTCGGGAGTCCATCTTATAACTTATCATCACTGCACCAGTATTTCATAGATTTCGTCAATGTACATAATTTAACACAACATAGCTCTATAACAAACAATATGGATAGATCTCTCGATTTGGTCTTGGCCAATACATCATCCTGCGTGGTTGCTGAGGCCGTAGACATTTTGTGTCCTATTGACCCACTACATCCACCTCTCTCTATAGAACTCTCTCTATTAGAGAGGCCAAAATTACAGTCCAATGCTGTGAGTAGGTTTAACTTTCATAAAGCAGATTACGTTGCTATTAATGACTATTTAGCTGAAGTTGATTGGAAGTCTCTTTTTTATGGGAACAGTGATGTAAATATGAAACTTGAATTATTCTTGGAGGTTGTTAACAAAGTCATTCATAAATTTGTACCAATTGTCAAACCAAAAACTAACAAATATCCTCCCTGGTTCAGTAAGGACTTGATTAGTCGCTTACGAGAGAAAAATAGGGTTAGAATAAGGTACAAAAAATACAGGCACCCCCTGGACAGGATATCATATCGTCTACTGACCGACCGCTGCAAAAAATTAGCTTCTGAATGCTACAACGCATATATTCGTAAAATTGAGGACGGAATTTTAATGAACCCGAAACTGTTCTGGTCTTATATTAAATCCAAACGTGGTGGCTCTGGAACATATCCAGCTACGATGACGGACGGTAATACAGTAATACAAAACGGTAATGACATATGCAACAGCTTTGCATCTTACTTCTTCTCTACTACCTCAAATCTTGGTGTCCCATGTGACATAAATACTGACGAGAACATTTTTAGTACATCAGTGGGGGGAGCAATCGATTGTTTTTCAACTCTAAATCTTTCCCGCAAGCAAATTTACAAAAAATTAGTCAATATTGATGTAACGAAGGGCACTGGGAGTGATAATATTTCACCATTGTTTATTTCAGGATGTGCGTCATGCCTGGTGGAGCCTTTATTTATTATCTTTAATAACTCATTAAGTTCTGGGGTTTTTCCCAAAGCTTGGAAGGTTTCTAAAGTGGTGCCAATTTATAAGGCGGGTGATGCTCAGATCATTAGTAACTACAGGCCTATTTCCATATTGTCCTCATTAGCTAAAGTATTCGAGTCTCTAGTCTGCCCTATTCTTCAAGCGTACTTCGACAAGTATTTAAACGACAACCAGCACGGCTTCACAAAAGGTAGGTCTACTAATACTAATTTAGTTACATATGTGGAAGACATTGAAAGTCGCATTGATGGCAATAAACAAGTAGACGCAATATATACAGACTTCAGCAAAGCCTTTGATAGAGTAATCCATCGACGGCTTCTGGCAAAACTATCTGCATACGGAATAGGGGGTTCTGTTCTAGCTTGGTTCGAATCGTATCTAAGTGAACGCTCTTTCTATGTAGTCGTTAATGGTTTTAGCTCAGAGCTACGAGATATCACTTCTGGTGTTCCTCAAGGTTCACACCTAGGCCCTATTCTCTTCAATATCTTCGTAAACGATATACCTAATTATATACAATACTCATCCCCTTCGATGTTCGCAGATGACCTAAAAATTTGGAAAATCATTGAAACACAAGATGATGTTTTGCATTTACAAAAAGATCTTGACGCGCTAGTGAAATGGTGTCAGACGAATGGAATGGAGCTCAATATCAATAAATGTGTTCACATTAAATTCACTAGGAAATTGAATCCTATTCCATCCATCTACAGCATCAATGGGATTCGATTAGGAGAAAGGGCAGTAGTAAGGGATCTGGGGGTGCTTATGGATAATAAAATGACATTTGTCCCACATATTGACTACATCATAGGCAGGGCGTCCAAGATGTTGGGTTTTATTATCAGGAACACTAGGGTATTCAAACGCCATTCCTCAAAAATTGCGCTATACAATAGCTTGGTTAGATCGATCCTTGAGTATGGAAGTGTAGTCTGGCGTCCACATTATGCTACTCACACACTTCGTATTGAACGCATTCAAAAACGATTAATAAAACACTTGGTGTTCTCACACTTCTGGCATAAAAGATTTAGCCCCTAAAAGGACCTACTAGACTTTCTAAAGATGCAGAGCTTGGACAACCGCAGGGATATACTTGACCTATCCTTCTTTTTCAAGATAATAAGATATCAGTTGCATTGTCCTGCACTCCTGATGAAATTTAACTTTAAAGTTCCATCACGAATGCCTCGTAAGCCCATCGAACCTCTCTGTCGTCCATTTCGCAAAACAGTTTTGGGAGCCAATACACCGGTTTCCAGAATTTCCCAACTATATAATAAGTGCGGTGAGTCAATAGATGTTAATGTTATGTCTCTAGCTAAGTTTAAGGCCACAGTAAACCATACACTATTTAAGTAACAAGGTGTAAGTCATTGTTTCATATACCTACATAATATTATTTTGTTCTATTCTAGGTTTTTGTATTTAAAAAAATGCAAAAACTTATAATGGAGCGGAGCAGGATGATGTTATGTGGGTGTATACATATGCATAATATTATTTTGTTCTGTTCTAAGTTTTTGTATTTTTTTTTGTTGTTTTTCACTAGGTAACTTTTTAGTAACTTGAAGCATGTGGTGTATACCTTTAATTGATTGTACAATTAGTATATAAGTGGATGTGTATTTACTATTTCTGCATTGTTGTAACAATCGTTGGTGTACTTAAATAAATAAATAAATAAATAAATAATATATATATATATAAATATATATATATATATATATACATATTATCTTTTTCTAAAGCATTGCAGATGCTTGTTTTTATTTTGTAATATACTATATGGTACTTATTATTAATACATGCTGGGGTAACCTGTAAATAGTGAGGCATTTACGTAGCTTCGTTTTATTGATGATTTATTTGATTAATTTTAGTGTACTCGCTGTTGGTCAGCTAATATGGTTAATAAAAGTTTTCATTTATCATTATTTATATCAATGTCAAATTAATATAAATAATGATGAATGAAATCTTTTTGCTGTATTGTTTTTAAATTGTTTTTGTTGTCAAATAAAATAAATAAATAAATGTCTGTTGCTAATATAGTTAATAAAATATTTCATTCATAATTATTTATATCAATTTCGAATTGATATAAATAATGATGAATGAAATATTTTTGCTGTATTGTTTTTAAATTGTTTTTGTTGTCAAATAAAATAAATAAATAAATGTCTGTTGCTAATATAGTTAATCAAATATTTCATTCATAATTATTTATATCAATTTCGAATTGATATAAATAATGATGAATGAAATCTTTTTGCTGTAAATTGTTTTTTGGTGTAAATTTTCTTGTTAAATTGTTTTTGTTGACAAATAAAATAAGTAAATAAATGTCTGTTGCTAATATTGTTAATCCCCTTGCGTTGGCCCCTACAGCTAATCGCCTAATATGTGAGGAGAACACTATGTTCAGCAGTAAACCGACAAATGAAACTATGCAAATAAGCCTTAGTTTTTTGTGGATAGTTGGAATGTACTGTTGCCAGCTTGTTTACAATTTTGTGAAAAAAATTGTATTTCTTCTCTTAGCAGAATTTATTCTCATGTGCTTTACGAAATTATTAATTACTGTGATTGGATTAAATTAAAAACATTGTAAATTATGGTAGAGCGTGTTAATTTCACACTACAGGCAGTCTCCGAACGAGGTGATGCCAATCTTGTGAAATTTAACGTCTCCAAAACACAAAAAATGTCTCTTCACCGCAAAAAGGAGCTAGCTCGCCTTGGCTCTTTCTTTCCAAAATGTATCACCCATCGCCTTCAGTTGTTGGGGGTTGAGATATCCTCAAATATGGACTTCGGATGGTTCATTGAGTCCAAGGCCAAAACAGCTGCAAGCATGGTAGGAATCCATTAAAGGTGCGGCGATACGTCACGCCGAGACAGCTGCTTATTTATATAAAGCGTAAGTCCGGTTGTGCACGGAGTATTGCTGCAATATATGGGCTGGTGTTGCAAAATGTCACCTAACAGCTTTGGACTCAAAGTAAAAACGTGCTGAGGATTA